AGTACCACAGAAACTGAATAATCTATTTAACTTTAAAATAACACTGGTTAGTCTTTAATGTATAAATAAACATTAGTGACAGACAGCAGCAGGTTTATTTAGGTTGCTGTCTCTTTAAGACCTCATGCACGGATCCAACTGTTACACAGTTTTGTTTATCAACTGTTTACATTCACTTAATAGCCTATAACCGACAACGTTTAGTATAAATCAGACTATTTTTGGCCAGGGAAACGACGTTGCCGTCGGACCAATGTTTGCTGGGAATTTTATCAACCCACCCAACGCATTTTTTTCCCCATCTGACGTTACCAAAAGAAGCCCAATTGGGTGGGAACCCGCCCAATCTGGCAACAGTGGTCAACACATCCCACCGCTGTATGGCCAGATGAGACGCGACTGGATTTATGCACACAGACAGACATTTCCGTACATTCACGTTGTTTCCACACATTCACGATAATGTTTTGATTTGTCATGTTTATGTTGCTGTGTTTAGTTATTCTGAATGGATCCGTGTACTGTAGTAGATATATGCAGTCAGCAGGTGGTTGGTTTAGTTTTTTTTGGGGGGGCATCTCCATGTGGTGCTGTTCGGTATCACAACTTGACTTCTCCAAAATGTAAAAAATCTCTTTGTTGTTGCACTGTACACATACTATACAATTCAGAATTTTTTTTTTTCATATGTGCTTATATGGGCTCCTTATGTCATTTGGTTATTTGGTGTCCTTTTGGAGTTTCTAAGTGTTTTTGGAAAGACACCTAAATTTATCTTGAAAAAAAGCTTGCAGAAAATACAGATTTTTGAGAATCACCCTTCAATCTTTTGATTTACTTTGCTGGATATAGCAAATAATGACAAAATAAACATTTGAAACAAGATAAATGGTATATGCTTAATTTCATGAAGTGTACGATTAATCGCGATTAATCACAGAAGAGGGCTGTGATTAATTTGATTAAAAATTAAAAAAATTAAATTTAAAAAATATAATTTTATAAATAATACTGTTGTTGTGTCACGGAATGTAGTTTTAAGAATTTTTAAAGGCAGGAATATAGTTGTTTAGACTTCAGATATGTAGTTTGATAATAAAAACAGAACCTATTTGAAAATGTGCTTTGCTGTTTTCGGAGATGTGAGCTCCGGGGCGTCAGCGGCCGTTCAGCGCTCATGAACCCGCCGAGAGCAGCCTCACCTCGGGCAGATCTTCTGGAATTTGCCGCTGGCTATGATGTCTCTATAATGGCATGACATATAACTCGTTTTGGGTATAACTAATGGGCAATCTTTGGTCTCATCAATCTAGTATTTGTTGCAGAGCAAATAGTTTTGGCTGAGGGCTCATAACTTTATTTTATATAACTTTAATGCTGCATCAGATCGCTGCCTTGTTTTGACTAAATTGCTTAGCAACTTTTATGATGGCTGTTGTTGTTTATTAAATATTATTATTAAACAAATACAATTTTTTCAATAAGTAATAGTAGTATTTAATAATAGTATTAGATATTGAGAAACGGTGTGTGTGTGTGTGTGTGTGTGTGTGTGGGCTACCTCACGATACAATATGTAGTGCAGTACATCACAATATGTCACAAACCATCATGTTCAGGCCACTTTTCAAGGTTATTTTAGGTAGTGATCACTTTCAGATGAGTGCCTCAAAATGAGCAAAATATTATACTATATCTGAATAAAATGTTACATTTTAATCATGATCAAACTGACAGCTTTAATAAAAGCTTATGTTTAAAGACCAAAACAGAGAAAGTGAAACTGTGAAAGAGACTTTGTGTCTGTGTGCACATGTGAGAGAGAGCGAGAGAGCGAGAGAGAGAGAGAGAGAGAGCG